AGTTTCAGCCAGGGCCCCTGAACCACTTTCTGTACCCTGGAAGCAGCAATTCCTTCATTGCCTGAAATAGTTAAACTCAGCCTGCCTGATCTGTTGCAAATGCTCGTCTTATGTGGAAACCAGTGTTTAAATCTCCAGCTATTGACCCATGAGGTGGGAATGCTGGAAACTCTCGTAGGTTCTATCATCTACCAAGGGGCCTGCATCAAGCAGTTGAGCTCATCCAAGGAGGATGCCAAGCACAAATATTTTCCTCAAACACCAGGTGCCTACACAGGACTTTTTCTAACTCACGTGGCAGGTGACCTTCTACCGCGGAGAAAATGCCACAGGTGCACACTGATACTTCAGTTCTTGTTTTTGTGATGTAAACACATGCATGAGGAGATTTGTGAGGGGCTTAGTTGGAAGGACCCTCACGCAACTAATTGGATGTAGCAGCAAATACACTCTGAACAATGAACAGGTTTAACTAGAACAGAGGTTGGTAGGGCAGTGTTGTACTACTGGTTGCTGTGGCTCTCACACCAGGCAATGGGCTTTTGTCTCCAGGGGTGGCTCCTGGATGTTAAGTAGGCTTCCTGCCTCCCTTTGAATTTAGTGCAGCTCAAAGTGTGTTCCTGGAGGAATGTAGACATGTGGTTTGGTTTGGTTTTTAACATCCCATCCTAATGTTTATATGAGAATATGGAGAACAATGTTCTCATTTCCCAAAGCTGGCTATAAAATGTGTGGATCATGGAGGTCTCTTATTTCTTTTCTTTGTCGACTATTTATTAATCTTCAGCCTTACGTTTCTGTGTGATGATATGCAGATCCTCCATGAGCTAGTTGGGTTGGGTGCCTGGCAAGTCTTGTGTATGGCCCTCTGAGCCATTATGCAATGTTTTCCACTCTCTAGGAGATTATGGCCCATATTGGGAGTGGATGGTGGGAAGGAGAGCTAATTAACATAAGAGCATTAGCTAGGGAGTCAGAAGACCTGAATTCTGGGATCAGCTTTGCCACTCAGGACTGTGTTACCCCTGACAAGTCACTCTTCCTCTTTGGTCCTCAGTTGCCTCATCTGTACAATGGTGTCTATTGGCCTCGATTATTATCAAGCTGTCTTTCAGATCTGCTATCCCAGATTATTCTGTCCTCTGCCTTTTTGTTGTCTTCTCACAGGATTCTGATATGGTGAACATTCAGCCAGCCTTGGATGCTGACCATTCTTCTGAGTTTTGTAGCTGTCTAGTCTTCCTGTTTCTCAAAGGTTCTTTATAGATTTTTGTCTCCTCCTCGCTTTGGGGAGAATTATCTCATTTATTTATTCCTTAAATTTCAGTTGTTCTACTGCTGTCATGAAGACTGTCTTCCAACCAGCATCCCCTCTGGGCCATCAGTGTGGCTATTTCCATATATCAATTTTGTTTCATCCTCACAGCAGCCTGTCAGCATTAGGTATAAACCCCCCAGACGTAGTCCCTGCAGAGACATGACTACAGGAAGGACCAGAGGCCAGAGGAACAGGGCCCTTTAAAAAAGTCTTATCCGAATGAATTGCAGCATTCCTAGTAAGCATCTTCCTCTTTTCAGCAGTAACATTTACAACTTGGCATCTTATTTCATAATTACATAAAAGGATAACGGTCTGGACAGATGCCCGCATGACAGTGTAGGCTGAGCTTGGGGCTGTCAGCCTCCCTGAATAGAAGGGCGGGTCCTCCTGCCTTAGCCTGAAAGGTGACAGCAGGGTCAGTCTTTTCGCTTTGGTGTGAAGGGGTCACTTGGTGCTGGAGCTGCTGCTGCTTTCTTTCCTAATCAGTTGACCCCCTTTGGTGAAGTCCCTCTCAAAAAAGGTGTTAGCACTTTTAGCAAACCCTGCCTGAAGGGTGCTTTACAAATGTGGAGTTATAAAAAAAAAATATGAAAACACCTCAAGTTACTGCATATTAGGGCTGCTTCATGACCTTTCCCTGTTTACTTCCCATTAATCCCCAAAGAGCAGGAAAAGTCCTCAGATTTATTGAGGGGCTTATTAATATAAGGCCAGGGCTCTGCCCAAATGAGGGAGCTGTGTCTCTGAGCTCTGCCTTCCCAGCATATTCCCTCTCTCAAGGAGCATTCGTTCTCTCTGGCAAGGGCCATGGGACACGTACACTGGTAGTGGTGACCCGAGGCAGGCAGAGTCTGTCCAAGCGGGTCAGGGAAAGAGGCATGTGGGCTGCTCCTTGCGGAAGAGGTAGGGTTGGATGACTTTGAAAGACCAGGGCAATAGATAGCATGTGTAGTCTTTCAAGGAAGAATGACTAATTGAGTGAGTGAATGGCCTCTCTACCGTTACGAGTTTAATTAGAGTGAAATTGCCATTTCATGTGAAATTGCCATTTCATATAGAGGACTTTCTTTAAACTCTACATTTGGCTAGTTTGTTGCTCTGCTTTTCATCTCTCAAGGTTTTTGGCACTTTTGCCTCTTCCTGGGGTCCCTGTGTGGATAGCATTGGGGCCAGAATCTGAACCCTTGGACTTCCTTTCCAATCAGAAGGGAAATCAGAGTCTGTGGAAAGAGCATGCTAGGCTTTCACATCAAGCAGACCTGGGTTCGGATTCCAGCTCCAACACTTATTTGTCATGGACCCTGGGCTATTGTTTTTAACTAAGCCTCTGTTTCTTCATCTAAACATGTTGGGTGGCTATGAGAAATAAACTGTTGCTTGTGCAATGGTGGACACTTAAAAACCACTCAAAGAATGGGTGCTTCTATGTGGCCATAATTGATGTTATTGGAAGTACTCCCTGGTACCCTGAGAATGAGGTTCACCTCTCTCTCACACAATCTGGCTACGAAGTCACCATCAAACGTCCTTGAGGTCTCCCCATCTTTAGGCCAAATGCCCTGTGTCCACCTCTGCCCCACTGCCCTCTGCCAGCTTCGTCAACAGAACCTGTGATGCTGTGGTTTCTCTGCTTGGGACGATGGTGCCATTCCATCCCTGTCTCAGAGAGTCTCTGGTCTGCCTTATGTAAGAGTTGCATGTGGGAGTGTGGGGCGTAGGAGATGGATCAAAAGAAGGAAGAGAAATGGCTGGAGGGAGTGTGTGATGTGGGACCTCCTCATTAAGACTTCTTGATGGCTACAACTCTGATTCCTGGTCATCCCTCTCGGCACACAGCGTCCTTCCCCAAGGTCACCATCAGGTTCCTCTCCTGTATTCCTAGGGCCATGGCTGAGCGCATCAGGCTCCTGGAGACTCGGCCCTGTGGCCTGTTTCTAGTCTCTACTCCTGGTTGAGGGCAGCTTTTCAGGTTACAGCAGAAACACCACAAGGGGCTCCAGGGTCATCACCTTTCCTGGTGTCTAGGTGGCTATTATTTCTAGTGCCGGAGGGAAAGCGGCATTTCCACTCACATTTCTCTATGGGGGTGGGCAGTGTGAAGCCAGGCAGGCGGCAAGGCCCACAGTGGCCTGGTGGGCCGTTTTCCTCTACCACCTCCCACAAGGGCCAGAAAAGCTGACTCTGGTGCCCTCTCCCTTTCCTTTGGCCTGGACAACTGGGTTGTTAACTATTGTAACTCTTTTTTTCCTTCAGGAAAATCAAGTAGGATGTCATCTAAAGTTTTGTTTCTATGTCACAAAGGACGATAGAACAAGCAACAAATGAATCAATTTTTATTAAATCGTAAACTGATTTCTTCATAAACTAATTTAGAGAATGGCAATTAAATTCTACAAACATTCCTCAGTGTTTGGATACCAAGCCCTGCATGATGAACGGAGGGAGGCTGAGATGTCACAGATAGGGTCCCTGTCTTCAGAGGGCTTCCAGGGGCAGCCTGTCCTCAGGCCGCTGTCAGGCTCTGCAGCGGGCCGGACAGGCATGAAAAGGCTGGCGAAGAGCTGAGCTGAGAGCCCTGATGCCCTGGATGGTGTTGGCGTCGCATCGTCCCTCCACACCTGCCCACACATCAGGGTCCAGCCCACGCCGCCCTCTTTCATTGAGTCTTCCTAGACTGCCTCGGGCCTGAGCAAGTCTCCTACGCCCCAAGCCCTGGATCCCTGTAGACCCCACCGCCTGTATAGATGACGTGAAACAGCTAAGATTTAGAGAAGTCAAATAATTTTGCCTGGGTTACAAAGTTCATCAGCAGCAGAACTGGACCTTGCACTCACGTGGTCTGATTCCCCACCAGGCCTTCTCCTTACTACCAAGTACTTATGATCTGTCTTCTTCATTTAACCCCAAGCACCCCCTCTTTGAAGCTCCCACAGTCTCTCTTCTATTTCATGTCAGCACTAGTTCTTCCCTCCCTGTTTTTGGTCACCAGCATGTCTCTGTTTGAGGGCAGGGTCCCATTCAGCCTGATGTCTGGTCCCCTCCTGGCACCAACACCATAGGAACTCAGTCAGGCATGGTCAGATGAGGGATGAGAGAATGAACTTGGCCAATGCCTTCCTCCTTCCTTCTTCCTTCTGAGTTATCTAGAAGCACAGAAGCAAATGGCTCTTACATGCCAGGTAATTGTGAGATTCAGTTTGTCTAAATTGACATATGTTTAGGTTTCCAAGAGGAACTAATAAGAGCCTAAGATAATAATGGTTTTTACCTCTCTCCCGTGAGTCATAGACCACCTGTGCCCCAAAGAACAACACCTGTAGGCTTTCAGTTTTAAGTAGGGTGCCCATAGAATGTTTTTAAGAATGAAATGGTGCACTGTTGACAATTACACCAGAACATTAGGCCTAAACTGGAGCATATGGTCACCTGGATTTAGATAAAATGTGTGTCTGCAATTGGGAAGAAAGATATGGGACATTCGTTTATGGAGATGTCTAGTCGTGTGGAGGGGGTTGCTGGCAAAGGAAGGGCCTTTGTTGCCAGCAGTAATTTTGCATCTTCAGTGACAGCAAGAATAAACCAGTGCCCTTTTCTGCACCTTCCACTTCATTTTCTATAAATAGCCGAGCCTCCCAGGATGTGTGTTTATGTCTTCTTATTGTCTTTTTCTTTCCTCCAGAGATCCTGCGGATAATTCAGCTGGACCTAGACCTAAAGTACAAGACCAACATCCGGGAATTGTTTGAGGAGTTTGACAATTTCCTGCCCGGCGCCATCATTGGCATCGCAAGGGAGATGCAGCCAGTGTACAGGTAAGTGGTAGCTGTAGGTAGGCCTCCAGGACCCCTCCCCATCCCTTACTCCCCTCTCTCCTGATGCTCGTTGCTGACTGGGATTTATCAGTGTGCAGTCTTTCTGCACTCAGTGTCTTCTGGACACATTTGCAGTTATTACTTGCAGTTAATAGTATGGACAGGTGGGTCTGTGCCAAAGCTGGAGATGACATCTCATTCTTTTGAGGGAGTTTGTGACGTTTTTCTTATTGGAGGCTCAGCTGTGTTGGTTGTTGGTTCTGGTTAAGCTCAGAATTTTAAAATCTTGGTTTTTGTCTTACAGAGGAGGTATGAGGATCTAGCTTTAACTTGCCAGTCTGGTGGTTGACTAGGCTTTCTTGGCCTCTGAGTCAGCAGTGACTGCTCCTCTGTACAAGCAGGGTGGTTTTGTCAGTGTCTCATATGGAGGAAAAGGCAGCATGACTTTGGAACACAGATTGGCATTACCTAGTGGAGATGAAGAAGCGCGTTCTGTGTGATGCAGTGTTTTATTGCCAATTGTGCATCATAAGAGAAACTCCAGCACCTGAGAACCAGGGAATATGTTCAAGAATAGTCTCTGCAGCATTGTCTATAGTCTCCAAAAACAGAAAACAATTCAAATGTCCATAGACATCAGAATAGATAAAGTATATCAGTGCAATTGAATACTAAATATATAAAGCCAAAAGTGAGCAAATGGCTGCAGTTAACAGTACACTGATAGACAAAACTGAAGTGTAATCATCAAGGATGTATACACAAGGAGTAAAAATTATAAGAACAACCAGGAAATGATGATTCCCAAAAGCCAGAATGGCGGTTACCCCTGGAGGGGATGGGGGAGTGATAGGGAGGGGCAGAGGTGGGGGTTGCCCGTGGAGCACCGCAGTACTTCAGTTCCCTACCTGGGTGGCCGTGCATGGGTTTACATGCATGCTTTTGTGTTAATGTATGTCTTACAGTTGAAAAACTGTAAGAGGGAAAATCAGAAGCACGTCCATGTTTTTGTTAATAGGCAGGCCCATGGCCCTGGGTCCAGAGAGTTCCATGTTGCTCACTGTTCCCCCTGTGGGCAGAACGATAGCTGACTCAGGGCCGAGCTGCCTGGAGCTGGGATTTCAGTGTCCCCTGGGCTGGCCTGCTCTTTGTTCTCAGTGCAGACCCTCATGCTGGCTCCCTTTGGACATTCTTGGAGCCAGGCCCAGTCTTCGGAGTACTGCAGGGCACTAGCAACTAGTGACTCAAGAGCAGGCATTTCTCCTAACGGTGGGGGGTAGGGGGAGTGATAGCCTCAGCTTGGCTGTCGCTATTTGCAAGACCCAGATCACATAACAGGAAATTCCTGAAAGGCCTCTGAGTGAGCTGATAACTCCTGGGCCTTGTGGCTGTTCTCCTAGACTTAGTCCTCTCACAAGTTGCTCCAGAGTCACAAAGTAGAGCCTCTTGCTCTGCCCTGGGGAGTGGACAGAAGAGGGTTTGGGCAAACGCTGGCCATTGAACTCACAGCAGCCTCCCTGTCTCGTTCCCTCACCTCATACAAGGTGTATCTTATGTCTGGAATTCTTGATTTCACGGCAGGAGGTGATGGAAGGAGCACTGAACTGGGAGTCCAAAGTCCTCTGTGCTGGTCCCAGCTCTGCCACCAAGCTTGGGGCCTGACTCCGCCACCTGAGTGTGGGAACAGGTGAGCTCTGCGCTCCCTTTCCCTGCCCTGGCAACGGGGATCCCAGCTCCTCTGACCCTCATCGCTTTCTCATTGTCTTCCCTCTGTCCTGAAGTTGTGTCTCACTGTTCCATGGGGGCCAGTGTCCCTGGAATATTTAAACGAGGCGAATTACTCAGTGCAGTTAGAGCAGTGGTGCCTTCGAGCCCTGGTTTGAAATCTTCTTATGTAATATAAATGGAAACCTGATGACACACAATTTAAATTGGCCAGAATTTATGTTTTCTGTAGATCTAGGATCTTACAAACTGTGAAATTTAAATTGATTTAATTATCTGGCCTTCTAAAAAGCAATCTCTGAAAGATTTTAGATCCAAAATGAAATTGCTTTTTTCTTACCTTCAGAGTCTTTAATTATCATTATGAGCAATGAGAAGGATGAGCCCTCTGCTGCAGGACTGCTATGGAGTCCCGAAGTGCCGTTGGCAGGGCTTGCGCACTCAGAGTCAACAGAAATGAAATCTCCCTTCACGTGCTTCCCTCTTTCCCTCTCCCCATCTCCCGGAGCTGAAATGTTTCTAAAGGCCCTTAATTAAGTCTCCAAGTGACTGCCCCAAACTGGCCGGCACCACACTGTCTCTGGGTACTCACCATGGAATAGTCTGGGCCTGGGAATGGTTTGGTGCTGGCTGGGGCTTTTTGCCGTCTTCCACAAGAAAACAAGACTCCCCTGTGTCCCGAAAGACCAAGCATTCAGTTGTCCGCCACTTCCAAGCCTGTGCCTGGGTGTGTGCTTTTGTGGGGAGGAGGGTGGGAGGAGAAGAAGGGAGGTAAGGGAAAGGAGTAAGTGACCAGTGCCCCGAGCAAGGAAGGACAGAGCTGGGCTGTTCTCCTGAGCAGGCAGCCTCAGCCCCTGCCTCCCTGGACGTGGCCATCACAGCTTGTGGGGAACCCCCTGCGCGGCCACCTGCCCACTCCGCAGGCACTTCCCACTCCGTAGGCTCTCCTTGAGGAACCAGCAGCTGTCTGACAACCATGAGCTCTCCCTAACTGATGGCTTGTGAGGCGGACAAGGTTTTTGTTTTTGGGGGTTTTTTTTTTTCCTATCCTACGGGGAATCTGCTAGCATCTATGAAAAGAAAGGAAAATTTAGAAACAAAACAAAACAGCACAAAAGCAAAACTTGGACAGATTAACTGAGTTCATTTTGATCTGGAAATTCACCAAGCAGAAATAAATTTGAATCTCCTTAGTGGTGTTATTTTTATAGTCACTTGTCTGACAGTACTTCAAAAGGGCACATATTAAGTCATTTTTACGGCTGTTTCCCCTCTATTGTGTGCCATTAATGTTGCAAGTTTGGAGCGGGTGGGGAGAAAGTATTTCCCCCTGTCCTTTTAACAAATAGCTTTCTTTACCTTTTTTTTTGGCCAAATATACACCAAATTGACTATGTTTTCTGGAAAATGAAGGCTTGTGGGATGCTAGGGTAGTGATAGAGGAACCTTTTCTTCTTGGGTCCCGGTTAATATTTTGTTGAGTCAAATATCCCGTGACCTTCCTCATCTGAAAATTAGTCATTTGGGGTGAAATATTGCCCTTTCTTTCTCGATTTTTTCTCTTTCCTGTGTCAGGAAGCTAGACCACAACACATCCTCAGTGGTGAGACGTTTGGTGGGATAAGCGGCCAAAGGGAGAGAGGCGCCTGGTGGTTCCTCGGTAACTAGCATGGGCTCTGTAAATGGACAGCTATATTCCGCAGATGTGTGTTAGTCCAGGATGCCATTCTGAATCCGCTTCCTTATGAATGTGTTAGAAGACTGAAGAAAACTGTCAGACCCTCTTTAGGTGCAGCCGATACATAAAAATTACAAAGAGTAAAGCGCTGTATGTAGAAGAAATAGCACTCAGGTTGTACTCAGAAACCGTGCATTATAGCCCTGCCTTTCATGCGTTACCCACGTGATGCTCTGGAAGTCACTTGATTCTGACCCTTTGTTTGTTAATCTGTAAATGGGGATGAACATATGTAACGTACAGAATCATGAAAACTCAAATGTAGTAACACACATGAAAGCTTCTGGTGTAAAAGAGATCCTTAGCGAGGAGTCTTTCCTCGCTCCCTCCCCTAACCCTCACAGACCCTTTCTGTGCCCCTCCCCGCCTGCCGTGGTTTGTTCTTCTGGAACCCTCCTATGCTACCTTACCCCCAACCATACAGCGTTACCAGTTCAACTGAATTTCAGAAAAACAATAAAAGTTGTTTTGTGTAAGTATGTCCCAAATACTGCATGGGAACATACTTGTACAAAACAATTATTTGTCGTTTAAATGAAAGTTAAATTTAACGGGGCGGCCTGTTTTTCATTTTGCTAAATCTGATAGCCCTACCCCCATGCAAAAGTTAAAATCTTCTCTTTTTAGCATAAGTAAGTGGTGTGGCTTTTCTACAAGATCCTTGAGTAAGCATGAACAAAGGGTACGGAAGTGGAGGTTGTGAGAATAAGAGGGCAAGGAGTGGGGGAGGCAGCCCTCAGTCTCCCAGAGGTAACAGGCCTGAGGTTCACCACTGTGCCGGAGTGAGGAGCCAGCCTGTGGTTTTTGGGGTGGCCAGTGGGGCTAAGAAGCCTGACAGTCGCTTAGATGCAGGCCACAGGGCTCCTGCTGAGCCCTGCGGGTAGAAGGGAGGGAGGGAGGGAGGGGGAGGGGGCAGGAAGGGGGGTAATATATAGGGTCAAACAGAAGTAACACCTGCTTGAGTGTGGTTGGTAGGGTAAGAATACAGGTGTAATAATTTATAGTTTTAATTTGCACATTTCACCTAAAATGTCATATGGCATGCTTGAGTGTGATATTGTTCTGTTACAGAATTACATGCTTATGATTTTGTAATAAAAGATTTTGTAATTAAAAAGGGGCGTTATTTGTGCCAGACCCTGCATATGTGGGGGAGTGTGTGTGAATGTGTGTGTAATCACGAGAGAGAATATGTATGAGAGTGTGAGTGAGCATGTTGCGGAGCTGGGGTCACAGCCCTTGGTTTTGGTCACTGTCTCAGAACTGGCCACCTGAGGAGCTGCAGAATGGGCGCTTTGTTCTTGGGGGCCATGGGCTTCCGGTTCATTCTCTCTTGGCTCCACAGGCCAGCTGTGTGCTGGTTTGAGCTCAAACCCATCCTGAGGGGGGAAGCAGCAGGCTAATCCTGTCAGCTGCTGATAAAACACCACTAGGCAGGAATTTGCTTTTGTGTTAGGTATTTTAATAGTGTCTACTTTTTCACCTTTTAGGTCACATGGTTTTTATTGGCAGTGTTTGTGCCAGCTTAGTCTCCTTC